GTACATGGTTATGCAACTTGGCATGTGCACAAATGGAAGCCATGAGCTGAAAATCAACCCTATATATACATATCATCATCTCTTTTCATCCAGAAAGCATAGGACTTGAGCGTGTGGATCAAGCCCTTAATGTCTCATTTTCCAAGGTGCAGAGCACCTCTAGCTTCTGCTGCCTTCAGAATCAGGTGCTTATGATTTAGTTCCCTAGACTGATGTTGCCTTGATCTTTTAACTGGGGTACTGTTTTAGAAGCATGGTATTTTAGTCCAGTGTAACACAGGCAGAGTTTACTGCAGTGCCCAATTTTTCCTTCTTCTGTGTGAAATAAATGGTAGCTTTGGCTTTATTATTTCCATAGGAAATATTTCAGAGATAATAACTAATAATAGGGCTTTTCATCTGTACATATTGACCGCATTTTCAAAGGAGACTATAATTCTGTGGAGTGTTTAAAGGAACACCAACCAGTCTTGCAAGAATGGATAGAAGCAAAAATTCTAATATAAAGCACAATGCTTTCAGGGATGCTGGAATGAACAGCTATCAAAAATATGTAGCATATTCCTGCCTCAGTCATCCCTATGGGCACCTGCTATTGCACAGGGAGACAAGGCCATGATTCTGTCCCTCACTGCTGCACCAAGCCCATATGACTCCTACTACTCTTTGAACTCCCAAGCTGAGCCAGCCAGATTTCAGCTGCTTCTAGCTGGGTGGGAGGCAGTGAAGAAATTCCTGATAACATCTCATTCTAATGCACCCATGCAGGGAAAGCTACAAATTCACCACAATTGATTAGGTTTGACTACGCTTCTGTGGTATCTATGGATGAAGAAACTGCCCGGCCACTAGACAAAATTTCTCGGTCACGCTAATCTTCTATCTTTCTTTTTTTTTTTTTTTTGCTTGCTTAACATGTAGTTCTTTTCCTCATATTTGAATAGCAAAACATTTGTCTGAACCAACTGAACCAAGTGTTTAAGAATATTAGTGCATCTTAGATGCAAAACTTATTGGCAAGAAAGGACATTGTTTTTAAAATCAATGGCTAGCACATTACTGTAAAATCTATTGATTAAAAACACAAAGCATAATGTTAGTCATTTAATCTGCGGAATGATGCAATACTGAAATAAATTTATCCTTTGACTTCTGCATTAACCTTTTATTGACTGCTTGCATACCCATAATTAACACACACTTTAGCTAAAGTGGTTAATTTTAGCATCATGATCAGTGTTCTCTAATGTAGCTGACACCCTGATCATCAAAATGTCAGTGCAACCCTAGGAAAAATAACTAGACAAATATCTGTTTTAGTAAAGTATACCTACCTGGGATGTTACTGGGTTAGGAAAAAAACCAAGAAACTGTCAAAATTGATGTCATTATTTAATTGAATTGCTAAAAAAAAAAAATAGTTGTATTAAAAGGCAAAATAGATTTGCTATTATATATGTAAAACCAGAATCAAAAACAGTTGGAGAGGGAGTGTAATCAATTGCTTCTTTCAAATTAACATTTTTACTGATATGGGCATGTTTTTGATTGTACTGGCCAGATGCTGGTTAATGATGGAGCTTTGAAAATTTGGACCTTCCATATTGTACTAATTTTTTAAGTGTCTCTCTTCCTATTTGGTTGATTTCTATAACTAAAGTATCTGGTGTAAAGCTGATGTGCTGGAAACATTTTACAGTTATTTGATCAATCTTCATCTGGCAAGAAAAGATCTAATTTTTATGTACCCAGGTTGGAGCTAATGTGACTCTTGCAGAAATTCCACTGTTTTTTCATGAACGGTTCAAACACCTCTGAATGCAATGCTTGAAGGAAAGGTACTTTCCTGTGACTTCCTGTGCAGAGTCCTTGTGTCTTACTCTATAGTTGTGAAAAAACCCGAACTATCCTTTAAAACTCTGGGAAATTTATAAAATGTAAGTCTAAAAATATTAACACAACAGATTTCTGGCCCACTAATTCAGTTCAGGTCAAAACATGACATGCAGTCAAATAATTTCCTTCAATCTGGTGGGTGCTACTTCATGCACACTTCAAAAAGTTGTTAAGGACCCAGTTCTGTACTCTTATATGTATATAATCCCCTTTCAGGACAATAGGATTCATGCCATATAAGGCCTGAAGGATTGGATGAGGATAGGTGATATACATAATGCAAGTGTTTAGTGTTCCCAGCCAGAAAATTGACATAAATAGAGAGAGCATCAGATCTAGACAGAATAAGTGGAAATATTGCTCAAAGTCACAGTCATTGAGAAGGCAGATATGGCTTGAAAGGCACAGAAATGATGATAACTCTACAACATTGCTCTCCTCTTTCCACTTCTTCAGGAGATCCTTAACTGGCCTTAGACTTATAAATCAGGAAATTCTGAGGTCCTTGTGGATAATCACTAACATACTCAGCCCCTCATATAGAAAATGCAGTTGCTCAGGATGACCAAGTATGTAGTTGTCATATAATGCAGCACATGCTCAGCCAAAGTATACTACATAGAAAGAACAGTCTCTGCTAGTAGAAGAAACTGGAAGAGCACAATTTTTCAGTGTCACTCCAAGGCAGCAGTCCCATCACAGCAGCTTTCATAACATTTAAAGTAATTCTGGGTATGTCTACACAAGATGCTATGTCGCTGTAGTAATGATCTATGCCAAAGTAGCATCAGCGGGCACAAACTGTGACACAGATGCTACTGCGCAGTAGCAACATGACACCACACTACGGCTCGTTACTACTGCACAGTAGGGTCAGAAATGTCTGCGCCGCCAGGACTGCGCAGTAACCATATTTGCTAAAGCAAATACTAAATGACTGCACAGTAATAACTGCACAGTTGGGTGCACGTGTAAACACACTCAGAGGTACCTAAAATTCAACTGGGAGGAAAAAGCTGGCAGAAAATACATTGCAATGGGAAGCTTTAAAATCAGGGAAAGTGTACAAAAACTGCATAGGAGTAAAGAGGTAATATGGATTCACTCCCAAAGGAAACTCTATGTTTAATAAACAGTGAGAAGAGATTGTTTATAATGAGCTGACTTTTTCATATTCCTGATGGTATTTACTAGCAGTGTCTCTTTGTCAGCTGTAATAATCTGTACATGCTTAATTTATCCACTTTTAGATTGAAATCCTTAAAGTGAAATGTCTTATACTTACCAGCAAATTGAGCATATTATTTTGTGCTGAGACAGAAAATAAAGCATGCTTTTAAAAGCCCTATAGACTAATGCTGTAATTAGCTTCAGCTTCCTCTGCATATTAATTTTCTCCTGTTCTTTTATATAATTTGGAAAATGTCTTCAGAACATGATGGCACGATCAGTTAAGTACCTCTCAGAACTCATACACTAAACTGCATTTGCTCTAACAACTATTATAAAATAGCCTGCAAAACAAATCCTCTGTTATTCTGTACAGTGCAGCTTATCAATGCAAACAGTTTAATATTTATGCTAAGAGGATTGTCACAAGTAGCTTCTGTTCCTTTAATTCTTGTTTTAAATAAATAATGAGAACATTTAAACACATTACTCTTCTCAGGGCCCTGAGGTCGGCTAATCTTATTATTTATGAAGTGATGTGCTACATAATAGTACTTAGTGCATGTTAACAGATGCTATTATCAGGGGCTGATGTGGAGAGCTGAAGATATATTGGAATGTTACGTGTTAATACTGTCCTTGTAGTGTAATGTACGATGGATTGAGTGCACAGGATGCTGGTGCAGCAATTAAACACCCACCAACATGGGTGTAAAGTTGAAGTATGTTTTCTCATGGGTATTTTGTTGCCATTAATAATTCCCAAGAGAAGAAGGAATCTTTCACTGGGACTTTCTCTTCCAGAACAGAAGAAGACCAGGAAGCTTTGTGTGTTGATCTTTTCAGAGTTCATTTTACAGAGGGAGAGACCCATTTCAATGCACTTAAAAATTTAAATTTCATTTTATCTTTAAAAAGTGTAATTATAGTAATAGTTATATACAAAATATAATTTTGTATGTTTTACATGGGATAAAATAATTAACTTGTCTATGTGATAAGATTTTTCCCTTTTAAAGAACTAAATTCACCTTCAGTACACATGAAGTAATTAGAATAATACTTAGAAGTTTTCCTTGTCTCAGTGCTTTACAAACATTAGCTAATTAATCAGCAACTGGTATCTGAAAAAACCCACTGAATTGTGACAAATTTTCTAATGCAGTGCAAATAAGTGGCACTCTGTACTACAAACTAATCTTAAGAGATGTGACAGTTGCTACTCATAAAACTTTCCTCTTCAGGGCTGCAATTTAGTTGCATATTATAATTAGACTTCACTAGTATTGATGAATAATCCATTTAATAAAAAACACTGTAATTTAAACATTTTCTCTGGGGACTAACGTGCACCAACCTCTTAATTTAATTTGATTGAAGATTTGCCCACCTATTCATCAGTGGAAATTGTTATTAACCTCCATTTGCATATATCTTTATACAATTTCCCCTTTTTATATTGCCTTTTTCAGAGCAAAGCAGGCTGATACACTTGTAAATCTCCAGAATCTACAAAGCCAATCCTGCTTCTGTAATATTGTTTAATCTATCCCCCGACCTTAATGCAGTAAATTCAGTTTAATCTTTCTCAGTAATCTAGTAATACATTGAAAACCCACAAACATTTAAATCTGATAATGGTTTAATCACATACTTTAAATAACAGCTGAGATAATGAAAAAATAATTCACCATAAAAAGGTACACTAACTGAATTTTCTTTGATTGGCTTTCTAAGAAATCCCTCTAGATAATATAAACCTTACAGCAGAAATCACAGCAACTTCACAGTAAGTGAACAATCCATTTTGTCCAAAGATTGAGCCTCTTGTTTGTTTGTTTGTTTGTTTGTTATGGACAAATGTAGCTTTCCTGAGCATTCAGTTTCTTGATATGCCTTCACTTAATTAATTCACCATCAATCTTTGTTTTCAGGTGCCAGTCCCAGCTGGCAAAGAGTTTACCAGATGAGCAGAAGCCAGAGTGCCATCCCTACTGGAAGAATGATGATTCTAACATGCCTCTCCCATATGATCTTGAAGAAGTAATTGCTAAACTCCAGGCCCTGCTTCAATAAATGGAGCACTAGAAGGTGTATGCCCAGAGTAAAATTACTTGTACCCATCTCTTGAAAAGAAAATATCTAAAGTGAATTGAATCTCTGCAGTGTTTTTATATTTAAATCACATAGGTTTATTTCTTCCTTGAGTACAAGTTCCTGTCCATTGTAACTGAATTATGTTTTGTAGCTACTCATTTAGAAATTTCTAAAATAAAAAAGAATAAGGCCTAGATCTACACAAAAGACTTAAGTATCATAAGTGGAACTAACTTAGAATTTAGGCACCTCACGCCAAGAATGTGATCTGTAACCTCACCAAACCCATAGGTACCCAAGGTTTTGCCAGTAGAATTCCCTAGCTGCTTGAAGGTCTGTTTCTGTGAATGCCAAGAATTTCTCCTATGCTGCCTTGACTGAGAAGCTCAGTTCCTGTTGACATGTGCATACTGTCCCTGCTGAGAAGCATGCCACTCTCACCTACTTCCGCTCTAAACACACCAACCCAGGAAGAGGCAGCGAAATTGTTTTGGAGGTTCCCCTTGCCACCCCCGTCAAAAATGCCAGAGATGAGGATCTGAAGAGGAGCAGCAGGTGGTGACCTCAGGACAATTTAATTGTCTCATTTCTAGGTTTGGCATATGTGGGGCAGGAGCAGAAGGGCTGTGTGCATTTCTTGGTCACCCTCCCAGAGCACTGCAGAACCATAGACATACCTGCCGTCATAGAGCAGCCTGATCAGGATCTGCAACTAGGCGTCCTCCATTTACCTTCCTTGAGGGACTTCATTAGATCAAAATGTTCTGAATGCACCTAACTCATCTATTACACAGTCAACCCAGCCATTTTTATTTAAAATTGTGAGTGGAAGAGGAAAGAAGTGCTAGCGCAGTTGTTTGTTGGTTACAGTATTCACCTGGATGGAGAGAAATTTCCTATGAAGGCATCCTAAAAGGTTCTAGCCAGTAGCTTTCACCTCCAGGAGAGTGTCCTAACTGCCAGGTTATCACCGTTCTGGAGGAAGGGCACACCTCACCCCTCCTGCTGGAGCTGTACCACTGTCCCAAAGAGAATACATAATCCACTGGGCTGGCAAAAGGGAGCAAAAAAGAAGCCTGATCCATTTGCCCACTGACTAGGATTTTTTTTTTAAACGTGTTTTGCACTAAACAGTCAGTGCATAAAATGCACATGCAGTCCACAAAGCAATGTTTGGAACCTGCGTTGGTTTGATGTTAAGTTGATTTGTGAGTTTATCCCAAAATACAAAAATGTAAGATGTTAAAAATAATGTTGTTTGTGATCTATTTTGTAATAGGATACTAGAAAAGCAGGCAATTCCTTTCTGGTCCATTGGGACTATCCAGAATAAAAGCCAATTTTCTTTCATTTACATTGTATTCTAACTGGCACCAGTTTATTTCTTCCCAAATGACAAAAAAAAAAGAGCTTGTGATGCAAAAAAGTGCTTATTATCACCTCAGAAAGGATAAGATCCGGTGCTCAGCATGGCTAATATAGAGGTGGAACATACCTGCAGGACTAACATTTTATTTAAAAATCACCGTTCAGACCAGGTTTCCTTAGAGTCTGCTGCCAGAATAGCTATAGTATGCTTACTAGCAAAGCCGTCTGGTATGGACGCAGTTTATACTGGCAGAACTGTGATTTTTGCCCAGTGTAGTTTATGCCAGCCCCCCCTTGAGCAAAATAATTTATGCCAGGAAAAGCTCCATTTTGCGGACATAACTGTGTCTACACCTGGGCACTCTTCCCAGCAGAGCTGTGTCTGTCAGGAACTGCATCTCTATGCACCCCTGAGCACCATTGCTTTGCCAGTTCAAGATTATAGAGTTGGCATGAATGTGAATATATGTTATATGCCTTACATTCCATGACTTTTGTTGTGGCCATCAGCTACCACTAAAAAAGTGAGGCCCCTTTTAAAGAACAAATAATTAATTGAATAGAGTTTGATTGTATTAGCACCTTGTTCCTGCAAACACTGTTTAACTGATGCTTCTTGCACCACAGCTTCTTAAGACTTTAAAACAATGCAGTTTTGTGAACACAGCTTTTTTCCCCCTGCTCTAGTTGGGCAAACAGCATACATTTGGATTGTTGCCACACTAAATATTGTTTACTTCGGAGATCATTTAGAGACAAGCTAGTTGAAGGTGTGGGAATTCTATTTTGGAAAAGGTAGTTCTCATGCAGACAGATACTGCTTTGGAAACTAGCAATATGGATTCAAACAGGCTAATGATATAGCACAGTTAAGGCAAGGTTTAAGGGGGTTGTTTGTTTCTGCTGTTTCTTTATGATTATTTTTGGTTTAATTAAGCATAGCTAGAAACGCTGGGAATCACAGTGGTGAAATGATTTTGACAGGCATAAAGGGTACAGAATGCATGTAAATGTTGAAAACTGTGGATAAAATGGAAGCATAGCTATTAAAAATGATTGGCAAATAATTATTTACTGCAGTATTCAAAAGTCACTAATTTTTTGTTCTTTGATTAGGAGACTGATGGTAACTATAATAGAATGTTTAAAAATCCATGAATCTAAGGCCTTGTTAATGCTGGGAATGAAGCCAGTCGAATATCTGCACTGGTACAATCTTCTAGTGCAGGCAGATCAAATTACCATAAACCACAATATACAATAGTACAGGTTCAAACTGGTGGAAATCTAGGAAATCCTTGGAATGGACAAAACCTAAGATTTCCCAGGCAAGATATTGATGCTCAGACACCCAGATATGGCTCAAAGAGGATTTAAATGTTTTGTGTTGGATTTGGAGCTCAGTTGTGCCACTGTAAATCCAAATAATATCACTGAACTCAGTGGGAATACAGCAGCATAAGAGCAGAATTCAGCCCTCCCTTTCCCTGGCCTCATCAGGGACAACAGCAAATGTTTGGCAAAGTAGATTGGAATTCTCCAAAACGCATAGTAGTTCTGAAGGTGTCAGCAGAAAAGAACAGACCAGAACTCATTCATAAAAGAATGAGTGCTTAGTATAATTACTGCCCTTTCCAATTAATTGTTAGAAAAAGACAATAACAAGAACATGATTTACAAGTTTTCCTTATGTCATTTAAATAATTTTGACCAAGGTCATCCTGAAATGATCCTTTTGCAATCCATTAATATTGTAACATTAGGTAGCCCATTACCATTTTGGATGTGCTACAAAAACATTCTTAACCCAGGCCTCTAATGAATGTTCTATGTATGGCAACTGTTTATTGACTCTAGATGCCTGAGGACCGAGGTCAGTCTGTTTCAGGGGGAAAGCATAAATAAGCTTCTAACAGTAGATTCTGTGATTTTTTTTCAAATGGTGAAGTTCATGACTTTGCTTACATTTACTTTTCATCAGCCCTGAAAGAATTGAGGTAAAATAGTTCCCTTGCACGTGTGTGTCAAGCTAAATGGATTACAGAAGATACAGATCTGTTTGCCTGTCTGCACTTGCCTTTAGACAATATTCATCAATTTTACAAAAGCTACTGACTAAACATGGAACCCATACAAATGAAATGCTCAAGGCAGGGACTTTAAAAAACACACGCTCTGATACAAAGTTGGTTTTACACTGATAGAAGGAAAATGTTGGCAGAAAATGAAAACCTTTTATTGTGACTCCAGTTTAGGGGATGAAAGGTAAAGGCCATTTTTAAAGTGTTCAATAGAAAACTGCTGGTTTTGTGCCAGGTAGATTAGACATTTTTTCATAAAGCATTATTTGTGTCTCTGCATATGAAGCTATTCCATCCTGGAGGTTCTTTTCCTTATTGTTGAGGTTAAGTAAATAAATATATATTAACACCAATATAATAGATTTTAAAGGCATCATTCTTGCACTCTGAGCTTTACAAGAGAGTCTGAATGTCTAAAATGTAAATAAGAATGCCATGAATAATTACCAACTGGAAAACATTCAGGATGTGTAGCATGCAGCATAATAAATATCCAGATCAGTTCTCTTTATTATCATCATGAAATAGTTGATATTTTCATTGGTAATGAACTGGATTTACTTAACAAGCTATCCTTTCAAATCATGCAAGGCCTCTGTAATGTTGTGGAACAGGTTTGGGTATTCAAGAGCCAGAATAACAACAAAACAGGCATGAAAAGAATAAAAAATCCATGACACACAATGCAAATGAATGAAGCTACTGTGCTAACAATGGGCAGAATTATCTTCTTGGTTAAAACAGTGCAGTGCATTGATCCAGTGTAATGCAATGTAAATTGTGCTAGTGTAACTGAGATGAATCTGGGTGATATAGTGCCTGACGTGTGGGAAGAAAGACAAGGTGAGGAAGAGATGTGGCTTAATTAGGTCACAACTTTATTAACTTAATTCAGTATAGTTCAGTAGACTCTTTTCTTAATTATTTCTACCTGGAAGAGAGCTAATTCCAGCTCCCTGTGACTCCACAGCTGGTTTCCCAGTCTGTTCCTGGGTCTTCCATGAGAGTTGTTGCAATAGACACTTGGATCCCAATCCTATTTCCCACTTTTCTCTAGGGCATCCCTTCCCTCAATCCCACTTTTAATTCTGGTTTATCAGGGAACCAGAACCCCTATGAAATAAATACTTGCACTGGACACCATCCATCTATTAGGTTGTAACGTGAATCTTACTTCTAGACCTATTACCCCACATCTGTGAGCTGCTATCCCAAAGGTGAAATATTGCCACTCTGCCCCCAGCTAATCTGGCACAAAGGTTAGAGTTTCCAATCCCAAAAAGTAATCTATTACAATCTCCACCAAAAATCTCAGTCCTACACTAATCCCAGGGGATGGACAATCAAGCAAACTGTAATTAATCAAGTTACTATAAATTCAAAGGGGGTGTAGGGATTTAGGGGTTGTCAGCTGATTTGTAACTATGTACCTACTCTTACCTTCCAGGACAGTTTAATTCTTAATGACAATGGTGTAGGGTATAATGGTTTAGTTTTTGCTTGCTGTGGGAGTAACAGGCACATGAACATTTATTATAGAGCAGTTGGTACCCAGTAGTAAATGCTTGTTCTCTTTTAACTTAATATAATTTAACTCTCAGAGATAGGTTGGAGTTGTAACTCAGCCCCCAAGAAGGAGTTTAGACTAGAAGTACAGCTTATTAGTAGTATGCATGGGCTAATGGCTTATTGCCTAGGTCAGGTGATACCTTCCCAAACTCTGCCCTGGCCACACACATTCCTTCTAAAACAATGAGAAATGAGGACCTTGCACTATTTTCTTACCAGTATAAACCAAAAATTACCTACCTCTCAGGTTGTGGGGTGCATATCCATCCTGCTTCTCAAGCTAAGACAGTACATTTTGATGCCTTTATTAAATAAAATAATTTATAAGTTTGTGGAGAAGCTGCATTTGTTAAGGCTATAGATTAGGTACCAATTAGCTGTTAGTTTGTTCCATTAAAATGGTAGCATTTAGCAGAGGAGAAGAACAATTTACACATGACCCTAATTCCTACCAAATAAAATTGGATCATCTAAGCTTTATCTTTCATTGTCATGGAGAAATCACATATATTTCATATGACGTAAAAGACTTCATTCTTTCATGATTTCAAGCTTGTGAAGCCCCAGTGGTTCTAATGTACATGTATGTGGTGCAAATCAGAGTTTGGTCACAAAATTAGCCCCTTTTTCTTTGTCTTCAAATACTTGTCTCCATGCCAAGGCATGTTGCTCTGATTATTTGTCTTGATTAGAGACTGATAGAGTAAAGTCAGGTGTATAGGATTCCTATTATCCTTTATTTCATTGGTTCTGTGAACAGATCAGATATTTATTTCGGTGAAAAAGGGAACAATCAGCTTCTGTTTACCATTAACATTCAGTTTTCCATTTCTTAAAATCAAACCAAAGTTTGGTAGGCAATGATTTTCGTACATGTCCCTTGATCAATGGAACACTGTCAGAATCTATTAAAGCCTCCATTAGCTTGATCGCATTCAAAGCTAAACTATTGGATTATTTAAAAAGCTGCAGTGATTGTTTAAAATATACTATACATTGATTTCTCTCTGTAAGTAAAGTGGCATAACTTTGAAAGTAAGTGTGTACGACTAAGACTCCAGGCACTGTCTCCAGTATATTCTAAGAAGCTTATTTTCCCTTTGAGAATACCTACATAACATGTTTTAAGTTGCAATCCCTTGTACTTTTCAAGGGTTTTTCCTCTAATTTATCCTGTTTCATTGTATCAGTCAAATGTAATGCATGTGGAATGGAAGATATAGATTTGCCAAGGGCCTCTCAACTGAATAGTTTCACTGAAAAGGTTTAATGAGTAATGATCAGGGACATCCCTGGGGAAAGGGGGGGCGAATCGGGGCAACCGCCCCAGGCCCCGCACTTTGGGGGGCCCCTCAGACAGTGCCTTACAGGCCCCACTGCAGCTGCCACGCACCACCACTGCCAAATGCTGCCCAGTCTGGCCACTCGCCCTCCCCCTCCCAGGCCCCCCACAGGCTGATATGCCCCGGGCCCTGCACACCCCTAGGGACAGCTATTCTAATAATACTAGCATTTAAAATAACTAATATTTGGTGAACTCATCTAGAGATCTCAGAACACTTTACCGGGAAGAACTGTGGCACACCAGTTAAAAGTTAGCTTCTGTTCTGAAAAGGAACTCTGGAACATGAAAATTGTGCATCCACTACTTCTATTTAAATTTACAGAAGTTTCAATTTAAAAGATAATTTAGCAGTCTGCCATTCCTACAAAAATCAGACTAGGATGTGAAAGTGAAGTTGTCTTATTTTCTTCCACTTTTAGTCATAACAGGTAGTGTTTATCAAGGTGAGAATGTACTGGCCAGATCTATATTGAAATACTTGGTATGTACCTATTAGCATTTTTTCTTAGTATTTTTCTACCTATTTTGATAATCTAACAATTTAATAGCCAAACATTATCAAAGCTTTCCATGCTGATGTTATGGTTGCTGTTCTTTTATATTTGTGTCATTAATAAATCTAGAAATATTATTCATCAGATCGTAAGATTACAACCTTCTCCCCCACAAAAGTATTCATAAAAAGTGTTGCTTTTGGGTTAGTTGTTTAATAGTACCCTTGTTTTTTAATTTTTATTAAAAACTTAATAAAACACTTAAGAACTCTTAATAAAGCACCATAATATGCATTACTATATACATGTAGACTTTGTATATTTTTTGTATTTGTTCATTTTAATTCAATTTACCAAAAAGACCATTTGTCTGTTGTTTGTCCTCCAGAATGTGCTACTAATGTGGCTAACTACCTCTCTCTATTATCTGTAGGATAGAGTGGGGTAGTAAATTTGTTCATGATAATAAATGGTGACAGTAAGGAGTTAATTGAAATCTGGGAAACAGAGCAATTAAGCAAGTGTCCTGGGAAATGCTAAACAAATAAAATTTATTTACAGGCAATGTTGTCCTCCCTTTTTAGGCTTCTTTCCCTTGCTTCCCTCCTTTGTTTTGAGATTTTCATGTGCTTACAATACTTTTACAATATTATATTATTTTAATTCCAGGCTTCAGGGTGTCTACTCACTGTCTGCAAGGGACAGAAAGAAGAATATCCCCCCCACCCCCTGCCTTTAAGTGCATTACTTTTTCTTCCTTTGAAGCATCACATATTGGCCAGATGTACCAGTCCTCCAGTTTTTTCTAAGGAATCTCTCTGGAGCCTGGATACTTAGAATTAAACTAATTTGAGGTAAGCAAGGAATCTTACCTCAGGTCCACCTGGGGATATTTTACCTAAGATCCTGCCATTGCTGGGCCCAAGTTGGTCTCTAGTTTTTTGAAGGTCTGGAGCTTTTGTATTAAATATTCTAAATTTACTGGGAGGTGTACTTTTGGCTGTGGAGTGACATGTACTCAAATGGATGCTCTTAAAAATACCTTTGGACTAAACATCTATTATGTGCTTGCTGGCAATAGCAAGGGATGAGACTTGAAGGCAAAGTGATCCTTTCCAATCCTATGGTCTGCTTGGGAAAGTTTGTGTTTGAATTTCCTTCTAGAATGCAGATACATAACCCCTTGTACATAGAGCACAAGGTATTTGCAGCCAAGAGAATGTCACTATAAGCTTAAAATATGCAGTTAATTCTTGAGCTACCTGGTATAAAGGTTTGCCTTGCTTCTGTTCAGAATGGGAAAGGTAGAGATGATGCTTTAGTTATACCACACTGAATGCTACTGTGTGCTGTACATGCTAGTATCAAATGCATAAACATCTTTTTTTTGTCATTTAAAATATGATTGTACCTCTACCCTCCCATACAAATACTATGTTTTCTGATAACCTAAATCATTCAAGATGGGGGCAACTCATTATCCTCCTTTTTAATAAAAACCTTGTCACTCATAATATAGCTTAAGCATAAAGTTGTCACCCTCTAGCAGCAAGCCCACAAAGGATGCAACTGCTACATTGAAGAACACTTAAGTTAATCAGTACACTTTGTCTGTGTGAAGCAGAAGGTTTTAGATTATATACCTGATGCTGCTTGCTGGCACTTATCTGTCAGTCCCCATAGGCATGTCCACACATGCAAGCATGTGCACTTGCAGCGGCACAAATTTGAGCTGGGGCTTTTTGCCTCAGCACACATGCCCAGACGTGCACTTTGCTGTGGGGCAAGTTGTACCACTTGGGGCAAAATAACCCTGCCTGGCTCCTCCTGGATCTGCAGCCAGGGGGAGCTAGAGGCTGGAACTAGTATCTGTGCTGGCCCTAGCAGTAAAAAAAGCTGCCCTGGCAAGCAAGTCAGGGCTGCTTGTTCTCAGGAGCTTCTAGGAGGCAGTTGGTTATGCCCCTTCCTGTCCCAGACTGCTGCTGCTGGTTGCTGCAGGCTTGGTATCAAGAGCTTCTGGGGAGATGTCCAGGCCCCTTCCTGCCTCTAGCTACAGCTAGCTGCTGGCTTGTTCTCAGAGCTTTTGGGGGTAAGTTGGCTTCTCCCCTTCCTGTCTTGGGCTGCTGCTGTTGCTGGCCCACCCATGGGGGGTCCTCTGCTGCATGTCACTGCCCCCCCTTGGGGAGGGGCCCACTACACTGCACCGCACCATAGCTTCTGCACCCCTGTTCTGGCCTGCTGCCCAGCCTGCCACCAAGCCACTGTCAGGAGACAGCCTGGGGAGGGAGCCTGCACTCCCTGTGGGCCCCTCCCCCACCATCACTGCTGGAGCCTAAAGGTACCTTGCTTGCCCCAGCTGCCTTAGCAGGCCACCTCCACTTTCACCTGAAACACACACTGAGTGGCTGCACTGGATGGCTGCTACCACTGCTACAGCTGTTGCTGTCTGTTCTGCTGCTGCCCCCTCTCAGGAGAGAGGGAGATTCCCTGCTGCACCACTTTGCACCACTCAACACCACACTTGCATTGGATTACTCCCTAATTGACTGATTGCTCCTGCCCTCCCCAACAGCTGCCTCACTTCATCTGATCCTGCTTTGTTTTCCTACCTGCTGCTGAGTGCCTGGCTGGAGGCCTGGGGGGCTCCTAGACTGATCTTCAACAAACAAAGCACCTCAACTGCTCCAGCCATCTTTTACATCTGCCTCAACAGCCTTCCTGGTGTGGTGTGGTTTGGTTTGCCCTTGTGTGGTAAGTCCTGTGGTCCATCATGGCTGAGTGGGTGCAGGTTCCTTTTGGGTACAAAGCCAAGAGGAAGGCCTGGGTGCAGCTGGAACTCTCTGATGTGGAGGACCCACCCTCCTAAGACCATAACATGGGGAAAAGGAGCAGCCCAGCTTCTGGGGACCTCCCCAGTTGTGCCTGACACCCCACCCCCGGTAAAGATTAAATGGGTTACCCAGTGGAGGAGGCTTCGGGGCTGCTACAGTCCAAAACAGGAGCCTGTGGAGGAAGCCCCTCACTCTGCTGGCCAGGGCCTACCCCCTGAAACCATGGGCACCTAGGCTGAGGCCTCAGCTGACCCAAAAGAAGATCTGGCAGCAAAACCCTCCCCCTCTGATTTGGGGGTGATGGGCCCTAGGGTTCACCCCAGTGAGTCCTGAGGAGGGAGGTCCCCTTTCCCAGGACCCCAAGGCAGGCACCAAAGCCACCCCGGTGCCTGATGGGTCTCTTCCCTCCCTCTCCCAGAAAAACCTCTGCACCAATGGTGGTCAAGGTGGAGTCCCCCAATCAACAGGCTGATCTTTTTGGGGACCCCACACAGATTCCACCCCCCCCCCAAGGACTCCAGCTCTACCTTACCATCTTGTGAAGGAGCCCCATCCCCACCCTTACCCCAACCCCTGTCCCAAGGGGTTGCATAGCTCTCCCAATCCCAACCAGGGTCCAGGGTCTTAGGGACTAGGGGGTTCAGATTGTGCCTAAGGAGCCTGCTGAGCCCCAGGACCAGGAGGATGATGCCCAAGAACCAGCTGGTTCCATGGAGCCTGTGGATCATTCAGTCCCAGCAGTTCCCAGAGGTAAGCTACTTGTATTTCTTGATCGCAAGTACGCCAGTGGTCTGCCAACAAGGTATAGCTCACCTTGGACCACTGGGGAGATTTTCACAGCATTCTTCCCTCTGCAAGGGCGCTGGTGGGGGAAGGCAAGGGGCCCAAAAGCTGCAATGCCTGGATCTATAGGTGGGCCTGCAGTTTCATAGAAGCCCTCTATACTTACAGGAGGATGGTGCATGAGCCGACGGACCCTGCACCAGGCATTGAGATTTGCATGGGCTAAACCATCCACTCCACCCCCCCAGCCATGAAGTCATTTAAGATCATGACCCTCAAGGTCCATGGCTGCAGGAAGGGCCTCCGAAGATGCCGGCTGCTCTCCTTCCTTCAGGAGGGGGGTTACCCCATTGTGCTCTTGCAGAAGACCCTGATGACTCCAGCCGACAAGCCTAATTGGCAGCTGGAGTGGAAAGGTAGGGTGTTTTTAGTCACCTCTCGGCCACTTCTTGCAGGGTGGCTACCCTGTTCTCCCCAGGCCTGCAGCCGGAGGTTCTCTAGGACATTGAGGTGGTGCTAGGCTGCCTGCTGCACCTCCAGGTCCAAGTGCAGGGGCTGGTCCTGAACCTCCTGAACATGTACGCTCCTGCAAAGGACCCAGAGTTGGTGGATTTTTTCCACCAGGTGTCCATTTACATCAGCACCCTCAACCCTCACAAGTGCCTGGTCCTTGGTGGGGACTTTAACGTCATCCTAGATGCACGAGACCGGTTGGACAGGGAGTGGAACCAGGCTGCCATGGGCATCCTCAGGGAGATCTTGATGGATTACTCCCTGGTGGACATCTGGTGTGTCTGTCACTCTATCAATCCCATTGACTTCACCTAAGTGAGGGTGGGGGAGGAGCATGCATGCCACTCCTGGTTGGAACAGGTTTATATCTTTTTGCCTCACTTTGCCTGGGTCCACTCCTCTGGCATCCGACTGACTCCTTTCAGTGAGCACCACCTTGTCTGGGCCCAGGCCATACTAGGGCATGGGCATGTGGGGTTGACCTACTGGCATTTCAATGCCAGTCTGCTGGAGGATGTGGACTCCAGGGAGGCCTTCTGGGAGTTCTGGCTGGCCGGGTGGGGCCAATGGGCAGCTTTCCCCTCAGCTTACAGATGGTTGGATGTAGGGAAGGTGCGCATCCAGCTTTTTTGCCACAGCTACACTCGGGGGGGATACCCAGCAGAGGGAAGCAGTCCAGAAGCAGCTCAAGCGGGATGACCACAGCTCCCATGGTGCATTTGCCACTCACATGTCCAGCTTCTTCAGGAGATGGACTGTAGCTCCCACTTCTTCTATATCCTAGAGATGAGGCAGGGGCCCAAGAAGTACTTCACCTGCCTTCTGGTGAGATCCGGGTGAGATGTACCAGGGCAAGGTGGACTTCTACAAAGAGCTCTTTTCCCTGCATCTGGCCAATGCCAAAGCCTGTCAGACCCTATGGGAGGGACTCCTGCAGGTCAGCGCAGGCAACCAGGGCCAGCTGGAGACTCCACTCACTCTGGCTGAGTTTTTCGCCACCCTCCACCTGATGCCTCGCAACAAGGCACCGGGCATTGATGGGCTAACTGCGGAGCTACTGGGCCTTCTGGAATGTTCTGAGCCTGGACTTTGCTGCGGTCTCAGCTGAATCCAAAGGAAGTGGGGAACTCCTTCTGTCATGCCAGAAAGTTGTGCTGAACCTCCTGCCGAAGAAGGGGGATCCCCACAACCTGAGGAACTGACATCCCATGTCTCCCCTCTGCATGGACTAAAAACTGGCAGTGAAGGCCCTCTCGCTGTGCCTGTAGTCCATGCTGATGGACATGATCCATCCCGACTGGACGTACGCAGTGCCCGGATGTTCCATCTTTGACAACCTGTACCTGGTTTGGGACCTCCTGGAGCTAGTGCACTGGGATGGCCTGTCTTTCACCCTCCTATCCCTGGACCAGTCAAAGGCACTTGACAGAATGTATCA